TTAATGTTTCCTTAATGTGTTCTTAGTTAGGAATCTGGTTAATTTACTATCTTCATTCATGTGTAATTATGTAGAGTTTGTTTTTTGAAGATAAGATTCCAAAAATGATAATGTGATATTGTAAAAGAAAAAAAAAGAAAAATGATGAGCTTATATGGTTCTGTTTCTAGTTTTGCAAGTTTAACTTCGTTTAAAGTTATATTGAAATGTTTATATGTTATATAAATGAGATAAAGGTTAGCTGGGAGTATGGTTCCAGTCCAGAGTTAAATAAATTTTATATGGTTCTTATATGGATTTGATTTTTTCTAAATAATTATTGTGTGTCTTCAAATAATTTTCAGTTCTCATAGCATTGAGATCATCAGTAGATAGCAAACACGTCTCTCATTGGGATGCCGTATATCGGCCAAAGGACTATAATGCAAGTGTTTTGCACTGCAACAAAACACGTATTGTATTTCAGAGCCGATACACGGCATCCCGGTAAGGGTCTTACTAGATGAGATCCGCTATGAAGAAGGATGCGGTCGCTGCCGCACTTACTTGTAATCAGGTGAAGGTCTAAGGTAAGTAGTTCATATGAAAACTGGTAGATGGGGCTGAATTCGACTCGATTAGGATAAATACTCAACAGCTTCTCTCATAGGGATGCAATGTATCGGCTCCGGAATATAATACGTGTTTTGATGCAGTGCAAAACACTTGCATTGGCGTATAGATTCCTAAATATTAAAAAGTAGACATTACTTGCCCTAAAGTAAAAGATGTGTCGATAAATTGATTCGACCGTGGTTTTTTCTTTTCTTATCCGAATATTCGTATTTAATGAAAATTAATTGGTAATTTGTAGTTGAAACTCAATAAACACCAATGAAATTGAATCACCATATAATATTTAACGAATAAATTTTTTTCATACTTCGTTCTAGTCATTGAAAAACCTTTAGTTCAATTTCTATGGGGGAAAAAAAATACGTAGCAAAATGACCTTATAAACCAAATTTGGTGTTTTATCCACATTTATTCATTACAACCAGATAATATAGTTTGTTAAATCATACCTAGATCAGTGTGTTTAATCGACGTAAGACGCACTATTAGTCCAAGAACTATCATGCTAAAATCATGAAAATCTTAAACAGCCGCCCAGACAACACCCCGCACGAAAAGAGTTCTTTGGAAACTCTTTTTTGTAAGTCCATAGGAAACTCCTAAAAAAGAGTTTTTTGTGAGTTTTTATTTGAAAGCTCATAAAAACGAACTCTTTTCAAGCTCTTTTTCAGAAGCTCATAGAGAGATTATTTATTTATAAATAAAGTTTCTCTAAAAACTTATTTAGCGTTCTTATCGAAATTAATTGTTAAGAATTTGCCTTTATTCACCATTGTCAGCATTGTAAAAAAATATTGTAAACAAATGTTCATACATGAACATGTGTACTCCATTTTACGCTAAAGTTTGTGATTAGCAAAGTAGTGTAAACAGAAATGCCTCCACATCAAAATTTTCTATTTTTATCTAAAAGCCAAAAAATCCAAAAATCGAGTATTTGTATCTGAACTTAATTATATGCCAGATGTAAATCTACAAGAGTCACCTTCTCCTGTATCTGAGTTGAGAGTCAATGATTGTTCAAATTTTAACCTACAAGAAACAATAGCACAGTGGATCTGTCATTTCATTATTTCTCACTCAGCTTTAAAAGTTTTAATGGACATTTTACCCAGTGTAAATTCATTAGAGCAACTGAAGCAACATCCACAAGATTCAAGAAAACTCCTCGAAGAACCATAATACGGCCTGTTTCACCTGAAGAATATTTTCATAATGGTCTAGACTTGTTGTTGAAGCGAGTTCTTTGATAACTTATGAAAATGAGCTCCTGGAGAGCTCTTTTCTCTGAGCTTCAATTCTCCTCCCCAATCGGTGCATAAGAGTACTTTCTGAGTTCGTTGGGAGCTTTCGAGTCAGTTGTTTCTGAGTTGTAATTCAGAAAAAAGAGCTTATTTGCTATCAGGATGATTAGAAACTATCCCCGTCATGAAAAACAATCTTATTTATTCCCATTGGATTCTTTTTCCGATTGAGAAAGTCAAAATGAATCAGGAATTTGCATCAGAAACATCCGATTGAACGGCGCAATTTAGATTGAATTTACAATTTCAATGGCAATCAATAGGAAATATCCCATAAACAGACTACATTCCAATGGGAAAATAATAAATATTAATTTAATATCGAAATTCCAATCGGTATGTATAAAAAAACCCATATTGAAACTCTCTTTTTTGAATAGGAATAAATGGGAAAATAATCAAATTAATTCCGTTTTGAAATTTCAATCGGTTCTTTTAAAAAAAATTCCATTGACACTTTATTGTTTGAATAGGAATGAATAGGAAAATAATCAAATTTCAATCGGTTCCAATTGGAAAAATTTCTTTGATATGCTACTTTTTAAATGAGAATTCATCGGAACATAGTCTTTATAAAAGAATCCAATTCATTCTAATTTAAAACAAATTGAATCAGAATGATTGAGAATGTTGTATCAGAAATATTTCATTCAAACATGAAATTTCTATTAAATTCTGAATTGGAAAAGAAGTTAATAGGAAAAACTTAATTCAAGATTGATTTTGAATCGGAAAATTTTAGAATTCTCCAATTGATTTCTATGAGAAAAAACTAATTCAAAGAAAAAGATTAAAACGAATTTGTTTACTTCAATCACATATGATATTATTGCATTTAAATCTGAAATTATGGTATAGTGATCTTTGATTAAAAATGAGTATAATTTAAAATACATAATGCAAATTTACATGATAAATTAAATAATATTTTTCGATATGTTTTATATTGCTGAATGAATGAATAATTCTCGTTTGTTATAAATTTCACTAATTGTAAACAGAAAATACTTCTATTTCAGTACTCTTAATATACAAAATGGCGGACCAAAATATTCAAATATCGAATAAAAGTCAACCGACTAGGTTTTATAAAGATTATCTTCGAAGGAACCAATCTATTCTTGTTCATCAAACAACATTGTACCGTTGGAAAAAACGAGCATGCTCAGGTATAAAAATATTGTATGATTTATTCCGTTTTGAAATGTTGAAAACGAAAAAGTATTTACTCTATGCCCATACAGATGAAAGTTTGTAAAACTCAAAAAAAAACCGTAAAACTCACTTCACAAGAAATAATGCAAATGATGACTACAAAATGACTTATCAATGTGGAAAGCGAACACGTACAGGTACAAAAATATCCAATAGTTATTTCAGTAATGTCATTTACGTTTTATACATCATTTCATGTATCTTCATTATTATAAACTGAATAATAAATATGGATGAAGTTATCTTACTTTATTTTACATAGATCAACATTATGGAAGCGAAACAGAGGAATCAACAACATCCAGAAATAGCTGTAGTAATGAAAACGAACAGCAAATTCTACAATCAAGTCCTAATGACAAAAATATTAACGAAGATCAAAAGTTTGCAAGATTCCAGAGTAGCTGTAGCGACGATAATGATGCTCATGTACCTCGATCAAATTCTGAACATGTTGCTGAGAATGATAATAGTTCAGCAAAACATAATGACTTCGATGATAATTATTTAAGTACTTGGATTATGTTTCCACAATCAAACGCATCTGTTTGGGAAGTATTTAACATGGTATTAGCACTTGCTTTAAGATTTAATTGGAGTGATGAAGCAATTACAGCAACTCTGGAAGTGCTGAAGAAACTAGGGGGTCCTGATTTTGAGAATCTCGATATTTCGAAGTATTCAATTAGTCAATTATTTAGTGCACCAGACGGCGCCATTAACTATGTATTTTATTGTAAATTTTGTAATATCGCACTTTATGAACCAATTTCAAAAAAAAATTTAAGGACTAAAAAAGAAGTAGCTCGTAAAGAATGCTCAAAGCAATACATACTAAGTACTTCTTTTAATAATTGGTTTTTGATTATCGATTTGGAGTACCAAATCAAGTCTTTATTGTCGAATATTGATTTACGATCAAAGATTTATGATAATATTGATCGTATTAAAAAAAACGAGAAGATAAAAATATGGATATCATTGATATCTATAATGGCGACCGATACCATTGTAAATTTATGAAATCAAAAGAAGCATCTAATAAAATAGTATTACTCCACAATTTCACAGTGGAAAACATAGTTTTTGGCTGTTGCAGTGCATAATTGATGAACTACCGGCAAATCTGCGATTTAAAATTATACTTCTTGCGTAGAGTAGAAATTGTGAATGCTAATGAAGAGAAAGAAATTATCTATATCATGGTATTATGTATGCCAGTTGATTCTGTCGCTAGGCCAATCATGCAAAATAGAATCCAATTTAATGGATATGATGGATGTAGTTGGTGCTATGCACTCGGTGCTTTTATTGGCAGCATGAGATATTTAGTAACCTCAGAAACTACTGAAGACCGTACTCATAAAAGTTATTTAAAAATGTGAAGGAAATAGAATTACGTTTAAGGCAACAAAAATCTAATAATAAATCCAAAAAAATTATTGTTCATGGTGTAAAAGGTTTATATATATTGAGTGATTTACGAGGGTTCGACTGTGTTTGGGGATTTCTGATAATTTGGTGTAAATTCATGCATAATAACGCTTAACGAACTGATAATCATTCACTTTTATTTATTTTATTCCATACAACATCTTCATACAAACAAAGACTCAAAAGAACTGAACTGATTCTATGCGCGCAGCGCTCTCTACATAACATCTCGGCCCCTTTGAAAGGTCCTCTTTCAATAATAAAAAACAAGATTAAATTGAAAAGTAATTAATATTTAAAGACTCGAAAATAACAAACTATTAATCTTCATTGTTAAATATCAACGAAAACTGACTGCCTTTATAAGGAACTAAACTTATGACATATTAATAATAAATATACCAATGAACTTTTAGAATATGCACTAATGCATTAATCTTCGTCTTGCTCACTAAGTGGCAAAGGACATATCTTGCAGACAGCTCTTTTATACAGCCCTGTGTGTGTTCTCACCGTGACTACTCGCACTTCACCGTCTTTACCAGGATGAATCTCCACCACTCTACCCAAAGGCCAATGTAAAGGCGAGGTATTGTCTTCGATAAGTAGAACCATGTCATTCTTATCAACCTTAGGATTAGAGGTATGCCATTTACCTCTCTTCTGGAGCTCTTGTAAGTACTCTCGCTGCCAGCGAGTCCACAAAACTTGTTGCAATTTTTGCAAATATTGCCAGCGTGATAGTCGGCCATCAGGAGTATTATTAAAATCATGTCGGATAGGTTGTACTAGCACATCTCCGATTAAGAAATGAGATGGAGTAAGTACCTCCAAATCATTAGGATCACTTGACAGTGGAGTTAGAGGTCTAGAGTTCAATACTGCTTCAATGTTAGCAAGTACTATACAATATTCTTCAAATGTTAAAAATCTACCCTGTGTGACAGTATAGAAATGTCTCTTGACCAGCTTTACCGCCGCCTCCCAAAGGCCTCCGAAATGAGGGGACCGTGGTGGGTTAAATTTCCATTCAATTTTTCTGTTTCTCAAAGCTTCGGTTATCTCAGGTTCAGTTTTCTTCAAGAATTCAAAAACTTCACTTAAATGTCTTGAAGCTCCGACAAAATTGGTGCCATTGTCGGAGTGCATTTTCCTACATAAACCTCGTCGTGCCGTGAACCTATCCAATGCTGCTAAAAAGGCTTCAGTGGTCAATTCACTAACCATTTCTAAGTGAACAGCCTTTGTCTTGAAGCAAGTAAATACCGCGACGTAGCCTTTTGTGATCGGGATTTTCCCTCTACGTCTGCTCTCTCTAACTGAGAATGGGCCAGCGTAGTCCACTCCTGTTGAGGAAAATGTACGAGCGTAACCTCTCACCCTTTCCTGAGGTAAGTCACCCATACGAACTTCTGGAATTTGGGGTTTAAAACGAAAACATTTTAAGCAGTGCCGTACAATTTTCTGAGTCTCTCGGCGACCACTAACTAACCAAAATTTCTGACGAATATTATAAAGCAGTTGCTCTGAGGGGAAATGCTGAAGCCTCTGATGTTCTTCTCTAAAAATGATAGTTGTAACATGATGCTTGGCTGGTAATATTATTTGATGTTTCTGATCATCTGGGATTAATGCGTGTTGGAGTCTTCCTCCAACCCTGATAATTTTATTTTCATCTAAAAAGACATTCAAAGAACGTAGTTTACTTTTCTTCGGAAGTTCTCTCCCATGTATAAGACAGTTTAACTCAGGTTCAAATTTCTCTTGCTGCACCCATCTCATGATCGTTCTTTCAGCTTTCTCAAGCTCTTCTGCTTTTAATGGACCACTTAACCTTTGCCTCAACAGTGCTTGACAGAAGCGGTGACAGTAGGCTACAATTCTACACAACTTTGAATATGAAGAGTATTTCTTAATAATTGCTGAGGAAAAGGTTGACATTAATGTTATTACTGATGTTTTCAATTCAGGTAAATCTGATTCAGCGTCTTCTGAACGATTTGGTTGCTGTTTTCTTTCTCTAAGCCATTCTGGCCCATACCACCATAAGCTACTATTTTTTAAATCCTCTACCGAGGTTCCTCTGGACAGAAGATCTTCTGGATTACTTTCTGTAGGCACATGTTTCCAAGCAATTGACTCAGTATAATCTTGAATTTTGGTGACTCTATTGGCCACAAAGGTTTTAAGCTTGTAGGGTTCTATTTTTATCCAGCCCAACACAATTGTGCTGTCACTCCAAAACGAAACTTTCTTTATTTTATCTTCGCATGATGATTTTACCTCATTGTACAGTTGAGAGAGTAACAAAGCAGCCTCTAATTCCAGTCGTGGTAATGATATGACCTTCAGGGGGGCAACCTTGGCTTTCGCACACAAGAGATAGGACTGGAGGTTACCTTGTTTGTTCACACTTACTGCATATAGACATGCTCCAAAAGCTTTTTCTGAGGCATCTCCAAACCCAAATATGTCAAATTTCTCTTCCGGATTAGTTGGATGTATATTTCTTGGAACTTTTATATCACCTAGATGCGAAAGCGATAAATGATAATCTTCCCATACCGACAGCTGTTCTGACGATAGAGGCTGATCCCATGACATGTTTTGTGACCATAACTGTTGCATGAATATTTTCCCATTTATGAGAATCGGTGCAACTATACCCAGTGGATCGAAAATCTGTGATATTTTGGACAATACCTCTCGTTTTGTTGTCACTGACCCTTTGGGTAAATTTGTTTTATACTGGAAAATATCTTTTGCAGAATTCCATAAGAGACCTAAAGTTTTTAAAGACTCTTCTCCATCAATTGTTAATAATTCGTCTGATACATTTTGTTGTTTTATGGTTTTCAATATCTGTGATTCATTAGATCTCCATTTCCTCAATAGGAATTGGCCCTTCTGAAGAAGACTTGCAAGTTGTCTCTGCAGTTGTATTGCATTATCTATCGTTCTTGACCCTGTCAACACGTCATCCATGTAAAAATTTTCTTCCACGACTTTGGCTGCTAAAGGAAATTCGTTGTTGTAGATATTTGCGAGTTCTCGCAGACATCTCATGGCATGATATGGAGCACAGGCTGTTCCATATGTTACTGTGTTTAACTGATAAACCTTTGGGATTCGATTCTTATCTGTTCTCCACAGAATAAGTTGATAAGATCTGTCTCTTGGATCAATTAATATTTGCCTAAACATTTTAGATATATCTGCTGTTAATGCATACTCATATGTTCTGAACTTGATTAAAATTTTAAAAATATCTTGCTGCAAATTAGGTCCCGGAATTAACTTATCGTTCAGTGACGTACCTAATGTTGTTTTAGAAGATGCATCAAATACGACTCTAAGTTTAGTTGTCACGCTCTCTGGGCGGACAACTGCTTGATGAGGTATAAAATATATTTCTTGATCTTCAAAATTCTTGATATCTTCCACAAGTGACATATGGCCACATTGCTTGTATTCTTCCATGAATGCACTATAACCTAATTTCAACTCTGGATCTTTAAAAAATCTTCTTTCCATGGACTCTAATCTTTTCTGCGCTCTGTCTCTTGAGTTACCTAACATAACCTCTGACCTTAAGGGCAATCGAACTATAAACCTTCCTGTCTCGGTTCTCTGTGTAGTCTGTTTAAAATATTTTTCACAGTACTTTTCTTCTTTTGTGTAATATTGAATTTCTGGCATGTGTTCTAATTTCCAAAACTTTTCAATTTGTTGACTCAATTGGTCATTCGTAACTGTGAGACAAGTTGATGAAGGACTTGCTTGATTTTCTATCAAGTCTCCTCCAATGATCCACCCTAGATGTGTATTTTGTAAAGCTGGTTGACCCTTGATTCTATTTCGTGGAAATCCTATAATAATTTTCCAATACAAACCGGCTCCTATAAGCAAGTCAATTTTCCCAGGCTTGTCGAACTCTGGATCCGCTAATGCTACATTTTTTGGTATGATAACTTTGCTAGAATCTACCTCAGTTTGTGGTATGTCTTCTGTTATCGATGGTAGCACCAAACATTCTATATCAGCTGTGAAGTCACTATACATTGCTTTGATCTGAATACTCATATTCTTTTTAGCTGATGATCTACTTTCATTGATGCCACTGATGAGTCTGTCTTCTTTTTTAAATGATAATTTTAGTTTGCGAGCCAATTCTTCTGTAATAATATTTGATTGTGAAGCTGAATCCAGTAAAGCACGTCCAATAACTAAATTTCCATGAACATCTTTCATGTATATTTTAGCTGTCGACAAGATTACTCTGGTCTGAGGCTTCTGATTGCAATAAACCGCCATTGAAGTACTTGCACTTGTAGGTGTCGAAGAATCTGCTGTCTTTACTAATGATGTATTTGATTGATTATCTGCTGCTTGTTTAAACTCTTTATGAAGCAGTGAGTTATGCTTATCACCACAATGCTTACATGTTGAGCTTCTACAATCTTGTCCAATATGACCTTTCCCTAGACAATTGATACATAATTTTCTTTTTATAACTTCTCTTTTTCTTTCATCTGGCGAAAAGGCTAATAGTGCTTCACACTTGAAGAATGGATGTGTGCCGTTACAGAATTTACAGACCTGTGTGGTCGATGACAAAGTGACTTTCCTCTCATGTTTGTGATCTTTATGTTGTGATGGCTTTGTTGACGAAGCTGCAGTTTTATTTTGATTTAACACTCTTAGTGTTTGACATCTTTCATTAAGAAATTTGATGAATTCATCTAGTTTTGGCATATTCTCTGGCCCACGACCATTTATATAATTTTGCCAATCTCTTTGTTCTATAAAATCTAAACCTTTCTTTGCCATGTGTATTATTAATGTGTCCCAACTTTCGACTGGTTGTTTGAGTGTTTTCAATGATGCCATATGTGTTTGAATATGCCAGATTAATTTTCGAAGAGACCCTGCTTTGTCTTCTTTACTTATTGATGGCATTTTAAGTAAAGCATCCACGTGATTCTCTATTAACATGACTTGATTGTCGTAGGTGTCCTTCAACAATTTCCATGCATGCTCATAATTTTCCGGAGTTGAGATTTCAAACCTTTCTACAACTGCTCGTGCTTCTCCCTTTAGTGCTCCGACTAAATACCGATGCTTTTGGATTGGCTCCAGCTCTACTTCATTATGTATTGAAGTTTCAAAATGATTTTTGAATATCATCCATGTTTTGTAATCTCCATCGAATTCTACTAGCTTCATTTCCGGAAGCTTAGCCCTCAATGCTGGTCTATCTCTACCATAATTATTGCCGTGGTCTCCATTGGCTCTTCTTACATCTTGAGTTTGGCTAGCAGCTGCTATAATTGACTGTGCTTTTGCTGCTATTGTAAAGTATCTGTTTTCAAATAATTCTCGTTCTCCTTCACATTCGTCGTTGAGATCTGACTCGTTGCCATCCGATTGTATTTGACTTGCTAAAATTGCTTCTATTTCTATCTGAATTGTATTGAATGATTGAAAACAGTCCTCCAGTTTTTGTAGCCTGATTTGTGCATCGATTGCTGTTGCTTGTGGATGATTTGCAAAATATGTTTCTATGCGCGTAACCTGTTTTTTGATTTGTGCTCTTTGTTTTTTAAATTTTACTAAGAGTGCCATCTTGTGTATTTTTTAAATGATTCATGTGAATTGCCGACTGTCGATAATTAACGAACGCCCCACGTCGTGATTTGATACTGAATGATATATGTATAACCTCACTTTTTCCTTTTTAACAAAAAAATTGAGAGATATATATTTTTTCTTCTTGCTATTGATGTGTTTTTGAGATTTCTTACTGTAGTGATGTAGTCTCAATTACTCAATGCAATGCCAATAATGAATTGAATCTTTGTTGCACAGTCCAATGTCCCTTGACACGCTGTGATTGCCTAAAATGTATACAGTCGTATACCTGCCGAAGTATGCCTTTTATATTTTCCGATTTCAGCCGTTAAACTTCTCAGTTGTCGTGAGTTTCTTGTTGCTGTCGGGCGCCAATGTTAATTTGGTGTAAATTCATGCATAATAACGCTTAACGAACTGATAATCATTCACTTTTATTTATTTTATTCCATACAACATCTTCATACAAACAAAGACTCAAAAGAACTGAACTGATTCTATGCGCGCAGCGCTCTCTACATAACAATTTCCATGCGAATACATGCATGGAATTTTATTAGGTGTTGTACGGCAACTCTGGGATAGATGGACAAGTACAGGTTTTCTTAATTCTGCAGACGGTAATACTATCAATAATCGTTTAGTTAATATTCATCCAGTAAAGGAAATTCATCGTGTACCTCGATTGTTATCAGATAAAAGTAAATGGAAAGCTACAGAGTGGAGGTCTTGGCTTTTATATTATAGCATTCCGTGCTTATTAGGCATATTAGATGATGAAGCTCTAAGGTCTTTTTGTTTGTTAGCTAAATCAGTTCATAAATTACTTTCTATGCGTATTACTGACGATGATCTCGTTCAGTGTGAAATAGATTTATTAAGATTTGTGGGAGATTGCCAAATATTATATGGTGATGAATTCATGACTTTTAATGGTTACTCATTACTTCATTTAGTAAGTAGCACACGAAAAAATGGACCATTGTGGGGGAACTCAGCTTATCCATTCGAAAGCAATATCTTTGAATTAAAAACTTTCATTACAAGTCCTAAGGGTGTACTAGATCAAGTAGCAAATCGTATATTGAGAAAAAATAATTATGAAAATATTTTGAATTTAAATGACAATGGAGAATCATGGACATGGATTTTATGTAAGGAGATAGTTTGTCGCAAAAAATTTATCAAAAATATTTATTGTACAGCAGATAAAGTTACAGTAATAAAAAACAAATCACATCATTCATTGAAACCCGAAGATAGAATGATATATCATAAATGTATATATAATGGAGTTGTTTATCAAAGTATTTAATACATAAAAACAAAAAAAACTGATAATACGTATGTTTTATTAGAAGATGGTTCAATTGGTCGGATATTACATTTTGAAGTTATAAATAATCATACTTTTGTCAAGCTACAAATGTTTTACATTTTAAAATTAGCAATAATTTCGATAATAACTCACATGTTTCAAATCGGAAAAATACGAGAAGAATCAAGAACTGAGCCGATTACTAGTATTCTGAGCAAACTAGTCGTAGTGAATATTAAAAATGAAAATTCAGAAGAAGACATTACATATATTTGTATACAACCAAATACTATTGAAATACAGTAGGGTGTCATTTATTTTTTAATGTAAAAATCAAATAGAAATTATCGATTTGAAAAAAAAAATTAGTACAAGGATAATGTAAATAGGATGTATATTTTCATCAGTTAATAAATATTATTAATGAATACAAGAATTATAAAGCTGGACAAATTTAATCATACAATTCCTATGTTTTATAAGTGAACGATCATTTTCCCATTCAATCCTATTGAGCTTGAATAAGAAATTTCTAATATAATCCAATCAAATTCAAATTTTAAAATTGATGATTAGTTTCCCATTCAATCTGATTCGATTTCAATATATTCAATAGGAAATTCCTCATAGATTATCATTGAAGAAATAATTCCGAAATTCTAATATTATTTTCCAATTCATTCCTATCAATTTCGACTACTCCGAATTGGTTTTATCTGATTCAATATTATTACAATCGTATATCCGATTCAATCGACTCTATTTCTCATAGGAGGACCAATTCTGCCCGATTAAATCCTATTCATTCCTATTCGGGAATTTTTTTATTCAATAGAAATTACACTTTTTTCTATCGGAATTAATAGGATTGTTTAATAAGGGAAACTAAATACATGAACTAACATAAATAATATTTCATTAAAGTCACGACAAATTACGCGCTGGTCTAATTCTTGAAAGTTATGTTTTAGATGTTTGAATAAGATGTAAAAAGTTCTCAAAGGTTGTAGAATGTTATAAAATTCTACAAGGTACTACAGCAACCTAGATAGCTACGCATTGGAGTCTTGAAGGCTATTTTAAAAAATTTTATATAAAATGTGAAAAGTTGTAAAATATTATAGTATTCTACAAGATACTACGACGAACTACACGCTGGACTCTTGAAAGCAATTCAATGAAATTTTAGATGAGACATTAAAAGTTGTAAAATCGTAATTCATTGTAGAGTTACGTAGAAAGTTGTAGATACATCTCTACCAGAAAAAGAATTTAAAAATTAATAAATAAAAAACTTACTGGTATTGAATCGAAATATTTGTTTTATATTTGTTCACAATACTGTCAATGTTCATTGCAATGTTAAACGCCAGTAAATATTTTTATTTAAAAATTAATAAATAAAAAACTTGCTAGTGTTAAATCGGAATAATTGTTTATATTTGTTAACAATACGGCTCATTTTCAATATTTCAAAAACAAAATAAAGTTGTCAGAGTAGTCATAAAGTCATCCTTTTTTAATTATATCAAACAAATTTTACTGTGAAATTTAAAATCTAACGCTTTTTGACATTAAATACGCAAGAATTGTTTCCATTATTTAATTAATATTCAAACGTTTTTTTCACTAATATTTAACCGTGAAATGCATCAGGACTCATAAAAATTATTTTAATTATTATTTAACCGGAATTAAGGTTTTCCTGTCTCTTACTTCAAGTAATTATTTTATAATTACTCATAATGTAATGAATCGAAGTATCAGCGCACAATATCAATTTAAAAATGTAACTTTTATAAAATATTTATTGTTTATTACAATATTTGTTACCATTTAATTTAGTATTTTTATGTAATAAACAGTACAACATTAAAAAAATTAAAAATTCGCGCCCACTACTACTCTGCAGTTGTGTTCAGGTGATACTAATCGCATACATATTTCCTTCTTCTAGACTCCATGATTGATACCACGTGTTGTAAATAAAAGGTTCATGGGCCGGTTTTCTACGTTGTCTTCTAATCTTTACTATATTTATTTTTTTGATATTGTTAAAAAAAACTTTAATAGAAGAAGAATGAGCATTTTTACTCAAAATTTCGATCCAATTACTGGGTGCACTGTCTGGGAAGAAAAGAACTCCGATTATGATTATCATCAAGAAGTTGCTCGTTCGGCTTTTGCTGATATGCTTCATGATACAGAGCGAGTATGTTTAAATTCTTAATAATAAATGTAATTTGTAAGAGAAGAAAAAAATTATTATTAAACATGATTTCGTATGATTCATATACCACTGCTTTTTTTTGTTGGCATATATTTTTTTACTTACAGAATCGCAAATATTATTCTGCACTCCAAAAAGCTGTAAACAAAATGCACTCGAAAGGAATGAAAGCTAATGTTTTAGATATTGGTACAGGTACAGGTTTACTGTCAATGATGGCTGCAAAATGTGGCGCAGATACAATAACTGCATGTGAGGTAATTTATGTTTGATAATGATTTCCACAATAAATTTTTTTAATTATAATTCAAAGGCTTTTAGACCTATGGCTGAGTGTGCTGAAAAAATCATTGAACACAACGGCTTTAAGTTACAAATACAGTTAATAAAGAAAAAATCTACTCAAATAATAGTAGGTGAGAATGGTGATATGAAGCAAAAAGCGAACATCCTCGTAACAGAAGTATTTGACACTGAATTAATTGGAGAAGGTGCTCTCTCAACATTTCAACATGCTCATCAAGTATTGTTAGAGGTACTTAATTTTTTTTAATTCAAATTCTTTATGAATCAGATAAAAAAATTCTCACACATTCTAGGAAAAGTAAAAAATTATTTAAAAAAATGAAAAATACAAATAACATTAAGTGAAGAATTTTTTACATTTCTAAATTTACTTACATTACATGATGATTGTTGATTAAAATTATTAACCATTTTAAGAAAATTTGAAAAATCATTGTAGTTTTTCAGTAAATATCGATTTAGTCAAAATATTCATGAAACAATAACTTATTATTCTATGAATTAATTTTTCAATATTTTTATACACATTTTTTTTTTCTAAAATTGATTATAAAAAATTTTTGCTTCAGAAAAACTGTATTGTAATACCATGTAAAGCTACCATATATGGACAATTAGTCGAAAGTTGGACAATGAGGCAATGGAACAGAATCAATCCTATAATCGATCCAGAAACTGAAAAAATTCTACTCAAACCTCCAGATATCATTAACAGCTGTCCTGGATCTTTAGCTTTACATGATATTCAGCTTAGTCAATTACCTTATGAATCATTTACATCTTTACTAACTTCTCAGCCTATATTTACATTTGATTGGTCTGGAAAAAAGCCAATAATTTTTAATGAAGTTAATTCAGTCAATTCTACTGCAATTGCTTCAGGAACAGCTCACGCTGTATTTATGTGGTGGGAATTAGCCATGGATGAAGATGAAGAAATAATATTAAGTTGTGCTCCATTGTGGGAGCATCCTAATGGTCAATTAAATACAAATGAAGAAAAAAATTCATTATCTTCACATAAAGATAGTAAAATTCCATGGCGAGATCACTGGATGCAAGCTGTTTATTATCTTCCCACAGAAATGCCCATAGAAATCAACGAGAAAATAACTCTTATTGGGTGTCATGATGAATTTTCTTTGTGGTTCGACATCAGTAAATCAACTGAGACAAACATTAATTCTCTTCAATCTCCTGCTTGTAATTGTTCTTTACATTTAGCATATTCGAGAACAAGAATAGCTCAATTAAATGATGAAGAAAAGAACAATAAATACATGAAGATCTTGAAGAAATATATTTTACCAGATACTGAATGTCTTTGTCTCTCTGATAGTTGTTTAATAGGTCTTACTTCAATATTGTTTGGTGCAAAAAAAGTTATTATGTATGAACCCAATTCACTTTCAAGAAGAACAATAAAAAGTTTTATCGATTGTAATAATTTAACTGATAAAGTGGAAATGATCGATTCTATTGATGAACTGTGCTGGACAAAAGAATCAAATCGTTTAATTATTGGTGATCCATATTATTTAAACTCTATTTTTCCATGGGATAATTTTCGTTTTTGGTATTTAATATCGACTCGTACTCCTGGTATTTTAACTATACCCATGGCTGTTCGAATTCGCGGAATTATTGTAGAATTTAAAGATCTGTACAAAATCCGAGCATCTGTGGGAGTTTGTGAAGGCTTCCAATTAATGGACTTCGATGAACTAGTTTCTGTGAGCCCAATTTTTATTTAGAGAAAAAAAATTATTTTCTTAATGATGAAAGCAGGACTGTTGTGAATATAATTTTCTTCTAGGCTTCTAGTAAAATAAGTGATTGCCCAGTTGAAGTTCATTCGCTTTGGGAATATCCAAGTTGGGCTTTATCTGAACCTTTTGATATTGCGACGTATAAATTCAATGAGGATTTTAATTCTGCAAGTGGAAAAATGTACTCAGGAGAAATATCTATATCTAAGTAAGTAGATAATTAGTATTTAGTTATAAATTCTTAATATTTAATAGATCAAATAAGATTTAAAAATTTATCGAATTTGAAAATAATTTATGACTAGACTTCGTGTCTTCTAAATTTTTTTCAGTACTTTTTATAAAAATTTATTTTTTTCTGTTGTCTCAATTTTTTATATCAAAATTAATTTGATATAATTATTTTGCTTTTTGACAATGACATAGAAATATTGTTTGACAAATCTCTTTTCTTATCGATACTTGTTCTCTAAAATAAAATTTAGAATTCTATATTTATTGGATTTAATTGTTAACACAAATAGAACAAATTTAAAAATTATTTTGTTAATTTGGCGCAAAATATTGTTTTAGAGGTATTATTGCTTGCTTGCTTGTTACGAATATCAAGTTAATTTTTATAAATAAGCCTCAAATTTTTCATGCTTAATTCAATAGTATATGAATTTTTTCTAAATCATAAAGATGTATATAAAATTGATAATTTCAGTAACAAAAGAAGAAAATCAATTGATTAATAATTTGCATCTTTTTTATATATTTACAATGCTTCATTAAAAGATTGAATACCATTTTCAATATTGATCTTTGTTATTTTTATCTAAGAGATTGATCGTAAATGTTAAATTCTTGATCTAAAATGTTAAAAAAATATGAATTACATTTTAATCAGAATAATCTATAATACGTTTGATCATGATGGTCAAAACTCTTATAACGTCATATCTAATATACAAATGTATTTTAAAGATATTGTGTTAACTGTTCTAAATATTTCCTCAAATTTACGGATAATCTAATATTTATCAATGAATTTCTCTTTCTTTTGTTTAACTAAAAATGCTTTTGAATTCAATTAAATCTGGTATTTTACTTTCAGTCAATTACCATTAATTTTTTTGTTATTTTATATTTAGGAATGGTATTTGCAACGGAATTGCTTTGTGGATTGATTGGTATCTAGATTCTGAAACAATTCATTCAACAGGTCCATTAGAAACCATTATTCCTGGTGAGATAATTTCTTGGGGTATGTGTAATCGTCAGGGTGTATATTTGTTAAAAGACATTAAAAGTGTTACTGAACATGATGTTCTTAAGTGGTCTTTTAAATATCGGCATGAAAATGATAATTATTTTGATTTTAAATATCACTTTGAAGAATAAATATGAAATTTTGAAAGATTTATAAATAAAAACAGTTAATATACAAAAATAAAAATTAAAAAAAAATTTATAATAAAAAGGAAACTTCAAATTTTTTTATATTTCGTAATTTAAGTATTTATCCAAATAATATATTATAATATCTGATAAGTAGGTAATTATCCAATTATATTTATACATTCCTCAGTTGTCTAGCCAACTGCTTTCCAATTAGCCTTGGATATAAGTTGTGTTTGATTAGAAATTCTTTACTTTGATGGGTGACAGCTCCATTCTCAAGTTGATATCTATAAAAAGTCATGATTCAACGTTAATTTTAAATCATTAAATCTGACCTTTGAAACAGAAGTTTTTAATATAATGACAATAGAAAAGTTAAATATAAAAATTTTTATCGTATTTATGCAATGATCAGTAAATTACGTTATTATATTAGTTGAACAAAAAAAAACTTATCAATTGTAATTCGATTGTTAGTTTTTTTTTAATCATATCAAATCATAGATAATTTACTTCTGCTTTCAAAGTCTCAGTTATTTACATTGTAGATTTTAAACGTACTTGCAAAGATAATGCAAAGGACGAAGCATGGTATCTTTATATGATGCTTCATTTTCTAAAATAGACAATGAAAGTGCACCACTTTCAAGAGTCGACAAACATCCTTCAGTTGGTTGTGTTCGAATAACATAATCACTTGCAGCATTTTGGACTATTTTACACGTTTTTATTGTAGACAACAATATACTAGAATGGTAAATTGCCTAAAATTATTAAACATTAAAGTTTTTCACTTAAGTAGATAACTAATAAAAAATTTTTTAAATGTTACCTTAGCTTGTGACCAAGTTCCATCCAGCAAAACTATATTATAAGGTTTTTGTCCATCAACACCTACTTTGGGAAGTTGCGATATATCAATCGCATTTTTTGAAGGATACAAAAGTATCGTATTTGAACTATTCAATATATCAGCTAAACCTTCATGTTTAATTGATGGAAATTTTTTTCCTCTAAATATATTACATTTGTTTTGTTCTAATGACAGACTGAGCATTGGAGCAGTTCGCAGGCATCTTTTATTTTCTGCTGGATGTTGTAAAATAATTAATCTTGATTGTGGACATAATCGAGATTTCGGTAAGCCTGGACACCAACAAACCTTAACCGGTCTGCTACATAAATATTAATAAAATTTTTATTATGACACTTTATATTTACTTTCACTGATTATTTTGACAAAAAATTTACCTGCAGTTCATACAACTTTCACGTATTTTTGGAGGATCAGCTAAAATTTGAGAAAGATCTTCCCACGCGTCGTCATTTAATGTCATTTTTATATTTAAAAAATCTTTATTGTTAAAAAACCACAATGTGTAAGTTAAAGTAATAAATAATAATAAATAAACATATAATGAAATTGATAAACAAAATCTTATCCCCACTACTTCTTTTGCTTGAAGCTATAGTTTGGGTTGATACATTAGTACATGCGCTCTGTCTGTTGGTAAGAACGGAGATTAGGGCAAGTTCATAACTTTTTGCTAACTTTAGGACAAGTTCCATCATTCGATTGGCCAGGATTGCCAATCAAAACTAGGGATAAACATTGTGAAAGCAAATTTTACTCCAAGCGAAAAATATTTTGCAGTTGCAAATATCAGGTTGACCAGCTATAGTCAAAAAAACCAAAAATATGCCATCCCTATTGTTATAAATGTCATGTGAACTATATGTCCCCACCACTATTTTTATGAAATATGAACATCACCTTTTTGGCCAATTTGGCTATATAGATGTTGCAATAATTTATCGACATGTAGTTTGGTATACATATAGATATCAATCACAGTGTCGTTCTTTTGAAACGTGATTAGATTATTCACTTGATATCAGTGTAAATTAATCTGTCAAGCATGGATCGAATTTCCATGAAATTAAAAAATCTTCATTTAATTCTAAAGTATTCTCATACAAAATGAATAAAAGTTTTAAAGGTTAACATGCAAATTAGTTAACAATGAAATTTTTATAAAGCGCCATTTTTAGTTTTCAATGTACTTTTAAGAGAGAGAGAGAGAGAGAGAGAGAAAGAGGGGAAAAAGACAATTAGTGAACGAGAAGGAAGCATTGCACATATACATAGATAGATGGCCGCCATTTTTGAGACGAATACTTGATTGCAAAAATTTTACTTTATTTGGTTTCATATCTGACAAACTGTGATTGTTGAAGGAAGTCATAAGTATCAAATGACATACATAGATGTATTTTAATCTTTTGTTGGAGTATTAAATTTTTCATGTGCATATATTAGTACTTTTAAGGGGTTATTAAGGTACATTTTGTAGTATAATTATTAACACCCTCAATAGTACTAAAAGAATGCAGTTAGTATTGGAATATCACATATATATACAGTAAATGAGGAAACAAATCCAAAGTGAACGTTGATGAAATATTGTGTGTGATGGAGGTGGAAAGTGCAAAAGGAAATGAAGTGCGATAACTTAAAAACATGAAGAAAATCCATGGTAGAATGGTAAAACAAAGTTCAGCAGAGGGGATTGGAGTGAAGAAATTTATTTATTACTTAGTGAACGTTGAAAAAGAAGTCTGACTGGTTAGTACAGTCCTTTTTCTCCGTTTACTGTCGCATTTCTGCTTTCTTTTATTTTCAAAAATTTATTAATTGTGTAGTGATTTTATTCCTCTCAAAATTTATCATATGTCATATTGAGTGTTCAAGTAGTTGGATAAAATAATGGTAGTAAAATTAAGTGTTTCTTACAACTAAAAATTCATTCATTGTTCTTCTTATCATTTACTATAGAGAATTGAATTATGTTGAAATAACAAGTGTCAACTATTGAAAAAAAAACATGAACATAAAACAAATTCAGAAATTTGTGCAGTCAGATAAATCACTTTTAGTTTATTAAAATAATAATGTTATCGTTACATCAGGTGAGTTAATGTTTTTATAGAATGTCAATTAAGAGATTGTAGACAAAAACTGAAACACATTAGTACATGTTTATATAATTGATTGCAAAATTTTAACAGAATAAATTCTTTTTTTTATAGAATTGTTGTATCACTACAATGGAATGATCTTTTTTATTGAATAATGTTGTTCTGATTTAATCTTATAATGTATGTCATTTTTTAAATAATAGTAAATAATCATTAAATAAGAACTTGGTTACACATAATAATTCAATAAATCTTTGGATTTCTCTTTATATTATAAGAGATCAGCTGGTTGTAACTACAATTGTGACAATTTAGCAACTTTCACCTTCTTGAAAACCTTAAAAGGTTGTAGATAATTAGAAAAATATTTCACCAAAACTAGAAAAAAAGAGTAAATAACAACTAAATATAATGATAAATTATTTTTAATCAATAAATTATTTTATTTTTTTTTGCATATTTTAATTTATTTATTTTCTTGATAAAGCATATGGATAATGATTATTTATATGTATTGTTGTGTATGATTAAAAATTTAATCATTTTCAATTAATGTATTAATAATTAATTATATTAACATTGTTCACTCTGAAAAAATTATTTATTTTCAACTAAACATTGTATTTGATAGTTTTAGTATTGCTATTTTAATGATATTCAGAATACTTTCTAGCTTTCCTTAATTTTTTTTTCTTTTTTGACGGTAGTATAGCTGTGTTGATATAGTTTAGCAGAAATAATATGTTTACCAGCAGTCTACATGATGTATTGAATGATAATTAGTTTTCAATATTCATTTTAATCAATCTCATTTATTCTTTTATGTGATTCAAACAAATAGTAAAAATTGATTATTCATTTATCATAATGAGATTACAAGTATTGGTATGTAAAAGGGAATTTTTGCAATTTTAAACAGCGAATGTACTCTACTTATCCGTACTAATGCTTGAATATATACATTTTAATTTGTTATCTTTACGAGTTGAATTTACAATTTTCCATAATCATTCTAATATCATTGTTAAACAACTCTTCCAGTTTCTTTCTGCAATGGTTACAATATTAAATTAAAAGATTAGTTATTTCAATTTTTTCAACATTAATTCTTGAAGAATATTTCTGTTTCTTTAAAAAAATTTCTGATAATATTGTGAATAATATATAATGTAAATTGCGGTTAATTTTGCTATGCAAAAGGCCACAATTTCCTGTTTCTAAGTACCCTCTTGTAAAATCATGACTTGAAAGAGACAAAGAAAAAAATAAAAGTAATATAAAATGTTCGTATGTTACTTTCTGAAAAGTTATTGAGAGTAACTTAAAAGACAGCACAATACTATTTTATGTCTAGGAATATCCCATTGAAATTAATTTTATTCCAACTAGTTATACTTTCACTACGTTCGTTACCTAGTTATAAAAATGACCCTGTATTGATATCACTTGGATATCATGGATATGATTTTCAATTAGTCGCTTCATATGCACTAGATGTTAAAGTACGAGAATAGAAAATTTTATGGTAAATCAAAATTAAAAGTGAGTACTTTTTTAAAAGAAATTTACATTAGAATAAAACGTTACGTTAATGAACAGAATATTTTAGTGAATAAAATGAATGAGTCGTTGATTTAATCAAAGGATGAATGGCTTCTTAAAATACACTTTCCTTCATTTTTATTTGCATAAAATTATTTATTGTTTAATATTTGAATGATGAATTCAATTGATAAGTTATTTTGAATCAATTAAATAATTAATATTAAATAATTAATAATAAATATTTAATAAAATATTTCCATTGATGTTAGTAATTTTTTATTTCTCAATGTAAAGTTGTAAGTGTTGAAAACAGCCCAGGTATGAGAATATTCTTTGTTACTTACAATGCAGCTATACTTTTAAAATATGATCCAACACCTGTGAATATTTTAAAATTGAGTTTTCAGTTATTGAGAAGATAAAAGGAAAGAATAAAACATGTCAAATCTTAGAATAGATTATATTCAAATACTATAATATTAAAAAATACATTTATTGATCATTTAAAATTGAAAACAATTTTAATTTATTACTGATTTATCGATTGTAACTTTTTCAAATAAATAACAAAGAATAAATTTTTGTTTGAGATAATTTGTTTACTTCAAACAAGAGAATATTTTTGGGAATAATCTGTCAATAACAAGTTAGTTAATTAAAAAAATTGTTTTTCATCATTATGGTATCTAAAATTAACCAAAATATTCTGTCGTTGGGTTTACAAAGATAGTTGGGAATAGATTCAGTCAACTTTTTACTTCTTGTAGATTTTTTCGATTCGTTTCTTTTATAAAACGGTTTCAAGGTTAGATTGAGATTTTTGTAAAATATGATTTTATAATTAATTCTTTATATAAAAAATATGAATTTCATAATAATTTTACATTAGATAAGAACCTTTTTTTTTTCTTAATTTAAGAAATCTTTTTATCTGTAAAACAATCATTTACTATTAGGTTTTTTATCTAGCCCAATTTTTCTAATGCTTATAATTATTTACAAATTTTACAATATAAAGAAAGAGGACAAATTTTTTATTGCTACAGGAATGTTGTTAACTTGAAGAATCAGTTTATAAAGAAATCATTTCTAAAAATAAGAATTAATGATAAATTTAAAAAAAAAATGATGAAGAAGTTCAATGTTTGTTTGATGTAATAAATGTAATTATGATTAAATGTTATTTTTTAATGTCTCGAAATTAAATATTGATATATAAATATTTTCTGTTACAGATCAAACTATTAGCTGGGATAAAATTTAATAGAAAAACATTGATCAAAACATATAAATTAAATACTGCCGCTGAGTCATTTTATATAAAGCTACAATATGACGTAAAATTGTATAAATTAAATAAATATTTTAAAGAAATAATTCATAACTATTGCACGTGGAAAATTAACTTCTTATTCATATAAAAAAGATTAATATCAAAAATATAATCACATAAATAATTTGCTAAGTGAATAATTCGAATTTACGTTAAAAATAAAAAATTAGATAATGTGTCGTCGAATAATACTCTTTGGGCTTCTTTTGCTCTTTATTGCAAATAACGCCTATTGTAGTTTAAACATTGATGAGTTAATAGAACCAAATATCCGACGCCGTCCTATCTATACTAATCATTTTGCTGTGCATATTCCGGATGGGCCAGCTGTGGCAGCTGCAATAGCTTCCAAGCATGGATTCAATAATATTGGTCAGGTAAGTTCTAGTATTATCATTATAAATATATCTGCTTCATAACAATTTCTTATGATTAGTTTTTTTGTCACATTTCTGCCAAAAAGTTAATCATCAGGAAGTAACACTTTTTTAATTTTATTTAGAAGCATCGACTTGTTTCCCACATATGCACGATGAATTCTTTCATTTACAATAAAAATATCATACCTAATTTCTTCATAGAATAAGAGATCAAATTTTTGAGATAAATGTGATGAAATATTCTATACATTATAAAGGAAGGGTATGGTCTATCTTAATTGATGTATATGTCCTTAATCTCAATTTAAAGTTTTCTTAGACTAATGATGATATGTTCAGTTTCTTTCCGTTGATGTGTGATATGTTATTATGATTAATAAAACTAAACAACATAATTTTAATGAAAAATATGTTACAAACGTTTAGCTCTTTATATTCTTGTATATTAAAACAATGTTAAAAAAGGTTTTAATTATCAGCAATAAATTTGTTTTCCTTGAGTTATTTTTAAATGATTTTTTTCAACTATATGGTTTGCTTTAATTTATATTTTAATTCTTAAAATAATGTTTTTCATTACATTAAACATTTTGATTGAATGTTACATTTTCAATGTTTCTTTAATTATTTTTGTAGATAAATTTTATTTATTTTACTTTGTAGTTTATTTTTTTTAAATCTAGCAAGTCAATTCTCATACAGTTCTTGTGATAATACATTTTCGAAAAAAAATATCAGTTTTATTAAAAAAAATATTTTTTTTGTTTAGCTATCAAATTTTTTTTTCAACCCTTGTCCTCATTCAGTATATTAATTTTGAAAATTTTTTTAAAATTCAACTTTCAAGTGTGAATTAGAAATGTACACACAAAGAAAAAAATTTTTTCAACCATCATAATCAGTTATTTAATACTTTTTCAGATTGGCTCTCTAAAAAACTACTATCTTTTTACACACAATCATGTGCGTAAACGATCATTAGACACCAGTGAGCACCATCATAAGCTTTTAAAAGACGATCCACAAGTAAGAGGGCGAAAGCAAAATTTTTTAATATATTTAATAACTAAGCAAAACTTTAATAAAATCACACGATATACCCTCACATAGACATAAAATTTTATGGTTGTGTAGTTTTAAACTAATATTTATCTTTTATATCTACCTATTAGTGAGAAAAGCTTTTCCAATTATCACAGTTTCTAGAAATCGAATTTGTGTTTAATTTATAGCTTACTAGATTAATTTAATATTTTAGATACTTTGGTTTCAACAACAACATGAAAAACGACGCAAAAAACGGGATTACAATATTTCACCGTTCAATTTTGGTAGTTTTCCTAGTTTTTTGGATGACTATTCACCAGCGAGATTTCGTCAAGCTTTTCATCATCAACGTAATCGAGGGGTGTTGCATGAAAATGTCTTTACTGATCCACTGTTTAGAGAACAATGGTATTTGGTAAGCATATATATTCCTTTTATTTTTTAATTTATTACACATTATGATGTATAACATGGAATTTTTTTCTCAATGATCCTGAAGAATGGTGGAGCCAAAGACGGTTTTGATATGAACGTCGGTCCAGCCTGGCAAAAAAATTATACGGGAAAAGGTGTTGTCGTATCCATATTGGATGACGGAATTCAAACGAATCATCCAGATTTAGCATTGAATTATGATCACGATGCAAGTACTGATATTAATGATAATGATGATGATCCAATGCCTCGTGATAATGGAGATAACAAACATGGTACGCGATGCGCTGGTGAAGTGGCTGCCGTTGCTTTTAATCAGTACTGTGGAGTAGGAATTGCCTATAATGCAAACATTGGAGGTAACTATATCTATACTTATCATCTATCTTCTTCTACTCTTGTCTGGGTTGGCATATGAACAAATTCTTTATCACGCACGCAGAAAGAGAGAGAGAAAATCTTTACTTATTACATTGATTTTGATCAGTAAATATTGATATCTCACGATCAACTCTACAACACCTAATTTCCAAATAAAAAGGGCAAATTATAGTAAATTGTGAATTAAAAGCAGTAAATAACTGCTTCATTGTCCTTCAGAAATCGTCGATTATTTGAAACTCTAGTTTTACATGTTGAATACTACAATTAGTAGGAAAAATTAATTCCCGCGTATGTATTTTTTATTGAATTTCTATGTTTAGTTATTCGTGAATAATTCACTATTTATCATTAACAAAATTAGATGATAAATTAATATTTACTACTACTACTACTCTAGAAGGAAAATAAAACAATAATTATCTCTCATGACTAAGTCATCTTTGTGTAGTCAGCTTCTCTTCGATCTTATTAGAGTTCATAATTTATCACTAGAGCTTTATGCAAGATGAGATATGTCATTTCATAAACTTCTGAGTCGAGAATAAAACTGGTTTTTGTGTAGGCAAAGAATAAAAATATTTTTTAAGATAAGATAAAAAAAAGAAGTTGTTTTCTGCAATTTGGTTATTTGAAACAAAAAATAATTATTTTTTTTTATACTACGTGAGGATTTTAGAAAACACGAAATTATCAATTTTAAACTAAGTAGCAAACATATTCCGACAAGATGCTAAAATAAAGTCACGTATTTATATAAACAGGACAAAATTAACTCAACTTTTTATAATATAAAATCACACAATAAGTAAAATTTATATAAAAAATATATTTTTTCTTGTTTTAAGAACATTTCGTATAAATAATTGCTTTACAATATTATTTTATATAAATATTATATCAATAAATTCAGGATATTAATATGATAATTCTATATATAATGACTTTCAGGTGTAAGAATGTTAGATGGCCCAGTGAATGATGCAGTAGAAGCCCGAGCTCTAGGCTTGAACCCTGACCACATTGACATCTACTCGGCGTCATGGGGACCTGAGGATGATGGTAAAACAGTTGATGGACCTGGACCTCTAGCTCGGCGAGCGTTTATATATGGAGTAACAAGTGTATGTATACATTTCCGTGAGTTGTTATTATTCACAATATTCATTTCCAGCATAAAGCGCATACTTCATTATTCGTTTATAACGCTACAAAAGTAAGGAGTTGCATATAAGTCTTTCTAATGTTAAAACTACAAGAAATTTGCCGTCAATCGCTAAACAGATTAAATTTTCGACTGCTTCTTTACAAATTATTATGCAAAAAAGTAGAAATACGCAAAAGCTTCTGGTTAGCTCAGAATGAAACAGGATATAATGCCAAATTTATTAACAACTTTTGCTTATGTTAATTACCTGCACTTTCTAAATGAGATCATGAGTACTAGAACTGAACGAATCAGAAAGCGCTGTTAAAACAATAATCACGTTTGAATTGATCTCAGGGTAGAAGAGAATGGGCAAGATAAAACATGTAAATTCTGAGGAAAAGAGAGGATCAGGGATATCGTGTGACTAGCATGTATTCGACAGAAAGAACTTCGTATTGGAACAAAGTTAAAGTATAGTTCGCCTTTCATATTCTTGAATTATTTAATTCTGATATTAATCAGAAATTATGTATACTGTGCATCATTATGTTATTTTGTTAACTTAATAAATAATAGAGTTTCTAATAATAGAATGGTTGGCAAATTTGCATACAGATAGAAAATGACCAAGATAGCTGAATTGTTTAGAACCTTTTCTAAATGCACTAGATCCATATTTCTCTTTCGATTTCCTGCGGAAGGTCACGTGGACTATCTCCGAACCAATCAACGATCATTTCCGAATTCGCACTGAGGATAGAGAGGGGAGGGGAACTGCGTAAACGTCCCTGATTGGTTCGGAGGTAGTACCCTTTGGATACTATATATATGGCGGTAATTTTTGAATTATCCATATACCCCGGCAAGCGGAAAAAAATGGAGTCATTTGCCCAGCTCTTAGATGCAATTGATGCTCGAGCCACTACTCATGACATGGTCATGATTTTACCACCGGAAATATGTCAAAAGATATTCCGAATGCTAGACCCTAAATCCCTCTTAAATGCCGCTCAAGTAAGCCGGAAATGGAGGAATATATGCAAAGGGGATCCAAGAATTAAAAGAACAGCCAGGCGTTATCTCCGGAAACAAAAAATGGCTGCCTATGATCTCCCTCCTAAAAGACTCCCGAGACTTACCTCGGCAAGACCAAGCTCATTCCGAGCCAAGCCCCTCAGCTTGCGACAGCTCAGATGAATCATCATCTAAAACTCTCAACTGACTAATCGCCTCTCTAAGGCGATAAAATCTATTTCTGATCTTTTTATTACTGACAAGTATTATAATTAACTTTTACTACTTATCTTTCGGATTTGTTTGAATGATTTAACTTTTACATTTATTCCGAAATATTGCTGCTGCCACTTTTCAGCAATGTTTGGCCATGAAATATTTTTTTATGTCCTATTCTAAGGTTCATTCATCTCCTCTCTCAATCATTATTCTTTTTTGACATTACATCCATATGTTTTTGATTTCGTTTTTTTCAGGGTCGTAAAGGCAAAGGATCCATTTTTGTTTGGGCGTCGGGTAATGGTGGTCGTCACACTGATTCCTGTAACTGTGATGGATACACCAATAGTATCTTTACTTTATCTATATCTAGTGCTACTCAAGGAGGATACAAACCTTGGTATCTAGAAGAATGTAGTTCAACGTTAGCATCTACATATTCGTCCGGAACTCCTGGAAATGATAAAAGTGTCGCTACGGTCGACATGGACGGAAAACTTCGACCAGATCATATATGCACTGTTGAACATACTGGAACTTCTGCTTCTGCTCCTCTGGCTGCTGGTATTGCAGCATTAGCTCTTGAAGCAAATCCTAGTTTGACGTGGAGAGATATGCAATATTTAGTTGTTTTAACCTCCAGATCAGAACCACTCGAAAAAGAGCCGGGATGGATTTTGAATGGAGTGAAAAGAAAAGTTTCTCATAAATTCGGTTATGGGTTAATGGATGCTGGTGCTATGGTTGAATTGGCTGAACAGTGGATCAACGTTCCACCACAGCATATATGTAAATCACAAGAAATAAACGAAGATAGGCCCATAGATCCTACTTTAGGTTATACTCTCAGTGTTTATATGGATGTCAGTGGTTGTGCCGGGACAATTAATGAAGTTCGTTTTTTGGAGCACGTTCAATGTAAGGTAATTATACAATGTTTATTTTAATTTCTCTAAATTATATTCGAAATTTTTGTGGATTCCATGTAATGCTTCTTTTTAATAATATTTGATAAAGTTAAAAAAAAAATTTTACCTCGTTTATAATGATAGAATTTATGCATCAAATCATCATAACAATTAATTAGGATTGCTCATAGAAAGTATAACTTCTCAGCTTGTAATTACAAAAAAAGTGAACTCATTAATAAAAAAAGATATCTAGATATAAAAATAGTTACTGAACCATCTTATAAAAATTCTCTATCGAGATAATTACGGATTCTGATTAAAGCCTAGTGCATTGATAAATTATTCTTTAATTCACGTTGATCTAAAGTAAACGTAGTTGGTCCGCTTCTCAAAAATATTTTATAAACATTACTTAAAATAAATGATTATTTACATAATAGTTGCAATATGTCAAAAAAAAACTATAGGTGTCTATGATAAAAGAAAAAGATAGATATAATTATAATAAATATAAAATATCAATGTTTGATAACTTAAATTTAATAGCTGATTCAAGATATATAAGAAGAACAGATGATACTTTTATGCAGAATGTCTGAGCTCTGTATTAACTGTTCGTGCTAAAACAGTGATTGGTAGACTTACATGAGATGCTATGACAGAATTGAATTTTCTAATAATATAAGAAAATACCTACAGGAAAAGATTCGCGCAACAACGATCTATGAAATGAACCGAGATAAGGACGATTGGTAGAAGAATAAGCAAAATATCCGAAATTGAAAGTCTATAGCGATTTGACAGATTGCTTTTCATATTTCTAACTCTCTTGCTCGTTTACATATGACCGAGCAAAAACTGTCAAATCACTGTAGATTTTTAATTTCGGATATTTTGCTTATTCTTCTACCTATGCTTTGCTTATTATTTAATCTATTTATTTGCCTAAAATTAGTGCGCAAAAATCCATATACTTTGATATATCTATATTTTCCGCTTGAGGCGCCTTAATAAGAAAAATTTACTGTTAAATAAAATTAGAACAAAAATCAAAAAACAAATAAGGGATATTTTACAAAAACAATTGATTCATTAATCTAGCGAAAGTGAAAGAAAAATTCTTTAAGGTAGTTCTATGCAAATATTTTTTTCGACCAATTTTTTTACAATTTTGAATATCCATGCAGTAATATATTCCAGAATAATTTGCAAAAGATCAATCGAATTAACCACATAGTTTATGAAAAAGTTATTTTTCAAATAAATTATTTTTACACGAATCTTGTAGGGACAGCCATTTTTACATGCCTTGGAATGGATGTTTTTATTTTTTTCATCGGAAACAAGTCGACAAAAATATTTCTAAAAATAGTAGTGGCCTAATCAATTCTTTTAGAACCCGATGTAATTGTTCTATCATTATTTACCACGTAGTTATAAAGAAAACTTCAATTGAAAGTTGAAAAATCTCATAGTATCGTGAGGGGACACGCGATGACTTACATTAGCAAAATAAAACTGGCAACGTTGCTTACGTCACTCAATATGATTTTTACCGCCGAATTTTCAAATCTTTGTCTTATCAACTCTGTATTGTTATCGTTTTTTAAAGAAAAATAATAAATAAATAAAATTATTCGAAAAAAGGATTTTTAAAAATTTCATTTTATTCATAAACAAGATAAAATTAAAATTGGCTCAACTTGGTCTTTTAATTCTTAGCATTTTAAACATTATTAATAGATAATATATAAGAAAAACAGAAATAAGTTAAATTGTTTTTAGAAAACATATATATTTTGCTTTGGATTTTCTATCACATTAATGAATTTTAAGTTATAATAATATATAATATAATAAAAGTTAAAAAATGTAATAATAACAATCGTTTTCAAATTCAATAATTAAATATTATATAGATTTATACTTTCCTTTTGTGAATTTTAATAAATATTCAATAATAGTAAGAAAATGACAATTTGAGCGCAAAACAAAAATGACTAATTATTTTTTTTGAAAAATTCAATTATTTTTCTTAAAATTTTTTTATTCTTAGTAACCAAAGTTGTCCCATCTCTATTTTTTTTAGATAACAGGTCTATGATAGCATTTTCTCCATCCTGTAGGTATATTTTTTTTAATTTATTGTAATCTATCCCAGCTTGTGAGATTTTTTTAATCATACCAGACGAAATAATATTTTGAAGAGGTTGTAAAGTTTTTTTTAAACAGTTTTCATTTTGTAATCTCATAATAGATTGTAAAGTAGCTCTAAATGATACCGCTGTATCGAAAAACTCAGTTTTAGAAATTAGTAATGAGCTTAATTGCTGTAATACATTCGCGTCATACACTGCATCGTGAAAATTCTCGTTAGAATTTTCAGGTAGAAAATCATTTGCTAATGCAGATAACTTAAATACTCCTGGTCCTTTTCGATCAGGATACTTTGTTTTGAAGATATTTAAAGAATCTGAAAATCCAATAATCACACTTTCAAATTCAGATATTAGTGAATGTTTTTGAATTGCTCGAACTAAAAAATGCGAATCAAATGTAACTTTATGGGCTACAAGAAGAATAGGTGTTGACAATGAAGCTAAATAATTTTTAAATTCTAACAAAGCTTGGTGTATCGGTATAGAAGATACTTTTTTACCATGTAAAAATAATTCACCATGAATATTTTCTAACCCAGTAACTGCTGATGCAGAGACTGTGACAGGTTGTGATGGATTTACATAAGTAGAAAATACCGATTCTTGACCAACAGCTGCGATTTGTAAAATATCCGCTGATCTGCCAAATCCTGAAGTTTCTAGATCAAAGTAAATGATGTTGTACTCATTTACTGTTTTCAAAAGACAAGGTGATCTTTCATCTTCTTCATTAATATTATTTTCAGCAGATAAATCATTTGATAATTCGAGACCACAATTAGATTCGTACATAGTACCTTCTGACTTCTCGTTTTTTTTCCTCAAATCTACTCTTTGTTGTCGCAAATGTACCCTTCTCAATTTCGTTTTTGGTAAAGAAGCTGTTTTTGCACGTTTAAGTCTTTTTTCATCTAGTTGACTTGAAAAAGATGCGGTTCTCTTTCCTGGACTCATATTCAACTGCTTTTCTACTTTAGATAAATACAAATTACCTTCATTCTTTGTACATACAGCACTAGCTATTCTAAAATCGCTAGCCTCACTAAGTGAATGACAATCTTTTTTTGGATTCTTATGTGCAACCATATTGTGAAAGCTTTCGTTACTCTGACTGGATGCTCCAGTTGAAAACTTCGATGCATTATTTGCATACTTTTGAAAAATTGTTGACAACTCTTTGAAGAGCTCTGGATTGTGAAGTAAAATAGTTTGTGATTCGGTATTGTTATTAGAATCAGCAGAATCTCGATGACACCAAGAATCACAATTTTCGTGTCGCCCATAAACATGATCTGGAATAGATCGAAGTGTAGATGCTAATTTTGCTGTTTGCCCTTTATTCTGAGCTACAGCATATCCAAAGCACTTCTTCAAATGCGGAATTACGCTCTTATGTGCCATTTCTCTATACTTGTTTTTTAACGAATACAAATCACTAACAAAGTGTTTACGAAGATGATTATAGTCAGCAAACTTCACAATACTATGTGCACTATTCTTACGTACTGAAGATATTGTTGCACTATCTTCATCTCCAATTAAGACTCGAACATTCACGTTTGCTTCTTTTAAAATCGAGCTATCATTAACAAGAGCAGAACCAAGATCAGCCTCCATGGCTTTGGCAGATCCTTGAAAGTTTTTGCGACAGTCATGTTTTTTGTCAGCATTTTTTCCACACTGGCGGCATTTTCTGTTTCGTGTTCCATAATCGATTATTTTTTTGGATAAAAATCCAATTATTGCTCCATAACCGTTGAAGCTATCATAGCTATTTCCTGCACCTCTTTTGGACCAAGCCATGTCGTAGGAAACTATGATGTTTACGATGTTGTCTACTGCCACATCAAATTCTTCAGTATGATCTTCACTTGACATGCTGGGATCACGATCTAATTTATATAACTGGGGGTAAACCTCCTTCACCACTTCATCGGGGCTATTACAATAAAAGAAAATCAAAAAATTACATTAAAATTTATCGAAATAAACGAATATATTTCCTGAAAAAACTTCATGGAAGCTACAAAAAAAATTGAATTTTTATGGTACATTGATTACATTACATCATTTGAATTTCTTCAAATTAAAAATTGATTTCATTACGTATTTACTCCAAAAAAGAGTTATATTCATAATTAAAACATTTACTATATATAAAAAACTATAAACTGATTGGTAAAAAAATAGACATAAAATCATAAGTAACTATAGTTTTCAACTATCTATACAATAATCCATTCGTTTACTATGATTTTAAAGAATCAAAATTCATAAAAAATTAGCTTACAGTTCTTCACATAATTTTGTAATATTTTCAACCACAAGACGTCTTTCCTCTTCTGCAGCTTCTTTACAACTATTTTTGGCAGTTTTTTCAATAGCCAATCCAACTTCTCGCTCAAATTTTTTATATAATGCTGGATAAATTATTGGACAATTCATACAAGCTAACATTTTATTTAAAGCAGTACACCCAATCCCACTGTGTATGGCACCTGTAATGTTAATTTTACCTTAATCATAAAATTAGAACTTATAATTAATTACGAATAAATGATCATTATTTTCAACTGTATTTACCAAGAATTAATCTTGTATTAACATCACTTTTCATTGTTTTTTTATCACTTGACAGGTGTGATTTAGTCGTGTATACTTCTTTGACAGCTTGACATTCAGTGCATGTCACTAACAAATTCACTCGTTGACCAACTAATTTTTCTTCAGTTGCATTTTTTAAATGCAACAATTGACCACATTTTTCACATTGTAAATTTTCACTTAAAACTTGTAAATCTATAAAACGTATGCCTTCACACAAACCATGTTTCATGCTACTTGAGATTACTTTTGGATGTTCGGCTTCTCTATTGGAATAAGTTAAATTTCTAATTTGTTTTTTTAGTTTCCCTTTATTGAGAATCTCTACTGCTTTCAAATTTCTTTCTAGAGTTTTCTTTTTTATAAATTTACCCTTATATCTTGTTTTTTCCATGATGAAACAACTGTCAAATTCTTATATATGTATTTATAGGTTAGAGAGGGTTAAATAATGCGATGTTGCCACGATGCATTTGTCATAGTGTACGTGAAAAAATTATTTCTATGCACACAGCTTTTTATCTGTAGTAGGTACCGTATCGACAAAAGTTTGATTTAAAATAAATAAATAAGAATTATTTAACATATTTAAACAATTATTTTTCTCTTCAGAAACATTTATTATGATAATTATAATAGAATAGTAGAAGTGTTTTTACCCATTTTCGTGGAAAAACAATATAAATAGAATTAAAATCTAAAAGCATAAAAATAAATTTTTGTTTCTGAATATGCATAGAACTTCCTTAAGCACTCGCGTGAGACACTTACTTTCGAAATCTACCTAATTTATATTGTGGCATCTTGAGAACTAGGTCGAAATATTGAAGTGAATTGCTTGAAGTTGAAGTTGATAGCAACATAAATTCAACTTTACTTCAGATAACTCTTCGCCCTAAAATCAATTGCATTCAAATAATATTTCCTCTAAATTTATCAAGCCATTTTGAATATGCATGTTTGTTTTGATTATAGATATCATTAAGATTTTTTCCCCGGGGGAATCTGCGCTTATTACTTACTTCGCCTATGGGGACGGTGTCAACATTGCTTTTCGAAAGACCTAGAGATGTTCTTAGTGCTAATTTTGATGATTGGCCATTTTTAAGTGTCCATTTCTGGGGTGAAAAAGCAGATGGTCGATGGACATTACAAATTATAAACGCCGGAATAAGACGTGTGAATACAGCTGGTGAGTACTTGAATCAATAATTTGTTTTATTTACAATTTACAATACAATAAATTTGTCGACAGAAAGAACTTCGTATTGGAACAAAGTTAAAGTATAGTTCGCCTTTCATATTCTTGAATTATTTAATTCTGATATTAATCAGAAATTATGTATACTGTGCATCATTATGTTATTTTGTTAACTTAATAAATAATAGAGTTTCTAATAATAGAATGGTTGGCAAATTTGCATACAGATAGAAAATGACCAAGATAGCTGAATTGTTTAGAACCTTTTCTAAATGCACTAGATCCATATTTCTCTTTCGATTTCCTGCGGAAGGTCACGTGGACTATCTCCGAACCAATCAACGATCATTTCCGAATTCGCACTGAGGATAGAGAGGGGAGGGGAACTGCGTAAACGTCCCTGATTGGTTCGGAGGTAGTACCCTTTGGATACTATATATATGGCGGTAATTTTTGAATTATCCATATACCCCGGCAAGCGGAAAAAAATGGAGTCATTTGCCCAGCTCTTAGATGCAATTGATGCTCGAGCCACTACTCATGACATGGTCATGATTTTACCACCGGAAATATGTCAAAAGATATTCCGAATGCTAGACCCTAAATCCCTCTTAAATGCCGCTCAAGTAAGCCGGAAATGGAGGAATATATGCAAAGGGGATCCAAGAATTAAAAGAACAGCCAGGCGTTATCTCCGGAAACAAAAAATGGCTGCCTATGATCTCCCTCCTAAAAGACTCCCGAGACTTACCTCGGCAAGACCAAGCTCATTCCGAGCCAAGCCCCTCAGCTTGCGACAGCTCAGATGAATCATCATCTAAAACTCTCAACTGACTAATCGCCTCTCTAAGGCGATAAAATCTATTTCTGATCTTTTTATTACTGACAAGTATTATAATTATCTATTATTCATTATTCTTTACTATTTGATTACTTTTTTTATATTTTTTTTTTTTTTCGAAGTTATCTATTTTTATCAGCGAAAACGTATCATTATTCTAATATTTGTATGAAAAGAGTTACAAAAGTATTTTCTTTTAATATCAACCCGTATTTACTAATATCTAAATGTAAATATGAAATCTAAAAAACGGAAAAGTTGATGGCATTAGTATTTTTCATATGCAACATGAAGACTTTGAACGTCATATGATGTCAAGATACTATTCACTACATAGAAAAATTAATAACCTTGAACAAATTACTGCTGCAAAAGTAACCTGCTAACATGCTTATAAGAATAAGCATATTGCATAATGATATAACCATTACCTAGAAGTCCGATTATGACTGATAAAATTATTTTAAAGTTTCTTACTATGACGTTTTTTTCTTACTCATTAATGTATTTAGTTCTGTATAATTTTGTCCGTTTCTAAATCATAGTTTAATTCAAGTCACATAGCTTTTGTTGATTAAACAGTTTGTACATTCAATTAACCTTCGAGTAATAAAAAAAAATGAAAGTAATTATATCATTAAAATATCGAATAGCATTGTCACAGTAGAAACTTTCTGACTCCATCTTTACATAATTTGATTTTCTACATTATTTATGCATATTTTTGTTATGTTTTAGGTATCCTAAAAAAATGGCAACTAATATTCTATGGCACTGCTTCGAACCCAATTCGGATACGAACGCAATTTAACCCGGTAATTATTCATCTGCCAAAACAACTGATAGATTTAGAAAAATAATTAACTAATTTTTACAGACTTTTGTTAATTCATACTCTGGAGCCACATCAAATATTCAAGAGTCTTTGGCGTCTCTCGATGGTTCTGCTTCATCAATTCTTACAAATCGTTTATCTAATAACAATATTCCCAGTGATATATCTAGATCATTACAAAGTTCCCTTGATCCATCAAAGCAGGTATTGCATAATTGTGACCCTCAATGTGATGACCAAGGTTGTTACGGTACTGGACCTACCGAGTGTATTTCATGCAAAAACTATAGACTTGATAAGTAAGTAATTTTTCTTTCTTTACCAATCATTTTGAGAAAAATAATTTATTATTGACATATCTTAATAAGATGAACGTGCATTCAGAATATTAAATTTAAAATTAACATATAACAAGGGTGTTGTATTTTGTCAAACAACTTAATTTTTATTGAAACAAATAATTCTTTTTCTCAATATGATAAACATTTTTTTCACGTTAAATTTTTTTACATAGCATGTGCGTGAGCCGATGTCCGCCAAGAAGTTTTCCAAATCAAGGTGGCGTATGCTGGCCTTGTCATGAATCTTGTGAAACTTGTGCTGGTGCAGGCCAAGATTCTTGTCTCTCTTGTGCACCAGCTCATTTAAGAGTCATTGATCTTGCAGTTTGTCTCCAACAATGTCCTGAAGGATATTACGAAAGTATGTAAAATGTTAATATTATGATAAAAGAGAAGTTAATTATCTACATAATATATAATTTAATTTAATTGTAGATGTCGAAAATAGTACTTGTGTTCCATGTGAAGCGAATTGTGCAAGTTGTCAAGATCGACCAAGCCATTGCACAAGTTGTGAGCATCATCTTGTAATGTATGAGAATCAATGTTACGCTGCTTGTCCTCTTTACACATTTGAAACACAAGATTATAATTGTGCACCATGTCATCCTAATTGTGAGACATGTAATGGTACTGCTCAAGATCAATGTATTAGTTGTAAACCCGGATATTTTTCATTAAATGGCGAATGTCATAGTATGTGTCCAGCTGGTTATAGCGCTGATAAAAAACGTCGTGAATGCGTACCTTGTCCTTTAGGATGTAAAAGTTGTTCAACGGGAAGCTGTTTTAGTTGTATTAACGGTTGGAGTTTGACTAAAAAAAGCCAATGTGCACCTGAAAATCGTAACAAATGTGATTCTTCGGAATATTATGATAATGGTCATTGTAAATTATGCCATTCTACCTGTGAAACATGCGCTGGTCCAACTGAAAATTTCTGTATATCGTGTTCGAGCCCATTAATTCTCCAAAATCACGAGTGTGTTCCTCAGTGTGATGATGGTTATTATTTACTTGCTCAATCTTCACGATCTATATGCTCGCCATGTCTTCATACTTGTAAAACTTGTGTATCACGACTAAACTGTACTGCTTGTCAAGATGGTTTACAATTACAAAGTGGAGAATGTAGATCAGCTTGTGCACCAGGATATTACAGTGACCGTGGACAATGTGCTAAATGTTATTTATCTTGTAAAACATGTTCTGGTCCACGAAGAGATCAATGTGTAACATGTCCACAAGGATGGCAATTAGCAGCTGGTGAGTGTCACCCAGAATGCCCGGAAGGCTTTTTTAAATCTCATTTCGGCTGTCAAAAATGCCATCATTATTGCCGAACATGTAAAGGTGAAGGTCCACTTAAATGTACATCATGTCCACCTCATTCGATGCTTGATGGTGGTTTATGTATTGAATGTCGAGGCGCCCAATATTATGATCCTCTAACACAATTATGCAAGACTTGTCACAAGAGTTGTCGACGATGTACAGGTCCAGGTAAATTCAGCTGTTCTGCGTGTACTTTACCACTACATTTGGACAAACTTAATAACCAATGTGTGCCATGCTGTTCATCTCCTAAAACCAAATCTATAACTGAAGAATGTTGTGTTTGTGATCCAGAAACCGAAAGTTGTAGAAATAGTTCACCAGCTGGCAAAAGAAGAGTACTTGGAACTGACATTAAGACTAATTTATCATTTTCATCATTCGATACTCAATTTGAAAGTCTTAATGTAAATATGAAAGATCATCCGGCAAATGTTACTATAACAGTAGCTACGATGATGGCCGTCGCAATTTGTATTGCATCGATCGCTTTATTTGCAGCTATCTTTATAGCACTTCAGGTAAGAATTTGTCATTAAAAATGTAAAAAACATTCTAAAAAAATACTTAAAATTTCCATTTCAATTGGTTTAACTTTTTAAATCTATGAATAAACAATTTTTTAAAATATTAGCGAAGCTAATATTTATACACGTACTCACACAGTCACTTGATTTTTTACTGAAACTTGGTACATACTTAAATGGTAATGGAATCACATTATCATTATGAAAGCTCATACATAAACAATGAATTTAAATATTCTTTAAAAATTGCATCAATTTAGATTGTAGGTTAAAACAACTTTGACAAATTTTAACAAATTTCCTGTGCTATATCTCTGAAGGATCGGTTTCCTTAATTTAATTATTGATGTTCTTTCAAGATTGCTTTCAAACTAAATAATTTGTTTCACTAGGCTGCATCAAAGAAGCGGGAATCTGCGATTGGATACACAAAACTAGCGGTACGAGTTGAATCATCAGATGAAGTTGAAGTAGACGATATGACTGAGCTTATGACATGAATGTATCTGTTGGAAAAAGAATGCTGAAAATGAAAAAAATTTGTTTTAATGCTAAAAGTATTATACCATTCTATAAAACTTTTGTAATTTTATTATGGACTTGTGTCAAAAAAAAAGTGACCGGTGTCTTTGAGAAAGTATTGTTATTTCGTTGCTCAGAAGATTCCGTAAACTTCAACGAACCGAAATGAAAGTGATAAAAATGCAATTCAAGAGAAATTTAAAGTGTTTTAAGAAAGAAAAAAAAATGAATTTCATGTTAATAACAATTAATTCAAGAAGTAAAACACAATGAAGTGAGTAATGATACAAAAAAATATAATTGAAATTTAATGTTTTGAAAAAATTGTGAAAAATATTTCAAAGTGCCTAATCGATAATACCTTCATTATTTATTATACATCAACCTTTTTATCCCTTTATATGTTAATTTTGAAGATGATTTATTTATTTGATGATTTCTATTTTTTAAAATCTATTTTTGCATATTTTGAACAACTATTTCGAATATTTGCTACATCTTTTTTTTATTATACAAGTACTACGATAAATATTCTTTAAGGATTCAATACCAGTATGTAAAGTAATATTTCAATATATCAATTTATACACAAGTTCATTTAATTGAACATTTTATATTTTGAGTAACGATAGTTAATTGTTACAAATGTTATCATTTTTAATATGCATTTGAGAACATTAACTGAAATCATTGCCATATATTCAGTAATTACTTACGAAGCCTCTGTCATTTTCGACCATCTTGGACATGAAATACATCTTTATGAGACAACATTCATTGGATTAATTCACGGCCTTACAATGATGATTGATGAATGATGGAAGTAAGACGTTTAAAATCTATGATTAGAGTTATTTCAAGATTTACCGACTATTCACTGATCAAAAAAATATTAAGATATTTAAGGTAAATGTTCCAATTATCAGGCATACTCTTATTACCAGACAGTTCAAATTTTTTATATTATATTTAATTATTATTTTTTGTTACACTGACAAAATTGGCTGTTAAGAATTGTCTGTTATATAAGGGTAAAATTTACTAAGCAGCCTGACAAGATCACTTGACTTTCAAATTTTGGATCAATTTCATGAAGCAAAATATTGGTACGAATTATTTTTTCTTTTCTGTTTGAATCTTCATGCACTTACATGAAATTTTTATTACACCTTAGTTTTGATGAAATTTTGTATAATAAATATTGTTTAATTCTATTGCACATTTTTTAAATATACATCATATATTTGTTTGTTATATATTTTGTTGAGTTTTTTGATTGATCAATTTTATTCATGGAACTCAGTTTTATGACAACAATATTTCATTCATTATTTACAAGTTGTACGAAACCAAATAGGGATGGAATTATTTTATATCATTTTATTTAAATATGGATAAAGGTCATTTTTCAAAATCATGAGGGCTGGTGAAAACTGTATAAAAAAAAATTACAGCTGAATATAATAAAATTTATTGTGTTACTTAAAAAAATTGCCTCTTAAGTACAATGATTGTTTCGTCAGATTCTGAGTATTTTTTTTTTCGTAAAGAAATTTAATTCAAATTGCTTGGTAAAATTTAACTTGATAATTTTTTAATGACTCATCTAATACATACATCATTTTGTGAGTTCTATAAAATTGAGTGATTAACCTATCAAAGTTCAAGGATAAATTGATATTGCTAATTTTCTCAGTATCGTAATATAATTTTGACCAAATCTTGATACGTCAAAAATCATGATCACAAAAAGTTAATATTTAGATACAATAAAATAGAAAAAAAGTAAATGATAAAAGATATTATTAAGATAAATAAGGAATTTTGTCATATTTTTTTACAGTTTTTATTAGCAGTTGCTAAATAATCATGAAGATATGTAAATTCACTAAAAATGTAATAAAAACAATATATTAAATTTTATTTTAAATATTCTAGGGTCATTTTGACAGTACAAAAATATTACACTAATTCCAGTGACGAATTAATTGTTCATAGATAAGTTTTACGTCTTTCACTATGATAACATCGGGATGTTACAACTTTGTTGATATTTTAATATTTTATAAATAATTATAATAAAGATAAATGTGATTTTTATGAATTTTTAAAGAGTACTCAAAAAACCTAGTTGAACTGAAATAAAACTAGCGAGATTAATAGGAAAAAAACTAACAAATTTGTTATATTATATAATTCTTATTGTTGTAATAATTTAAGACTAATCGATAAAAGTAGTACTCGTTTATGATATAAGATTTTGTTTTCGAGAGTTATATTTTTTGAAAATAACAGTTGAATTACATTATTTGCAATCTTTGATGAAAAATAGTCAGTAATGATAGAAATTGATGCATTTTTTTGTTTCAAATGAATACTTGTATTTACTCTTTTATAAAATCTAGTCCTAGTTTTTACTGTCCTGGAATTGGGACATTTACCTTATGTATAAAGATTTTACAAAAAATATTTTATGGAAAAAATAGCTCGTATTTTTCCCATAAATTGATAACATAAATTAAAAAATAAATATTGTTAACTCTAATCTAACTAGAGAAATATAGGGCTAATTTGTTCGACAATTCATAAATGAACAAAGAAATGTACTTGATATTTCGAAATTGTATACTCAAGGTCTGGTCCAGAAACCAAAAAAATATACCTGCCTTTATCAAACTTAATAATCTCATAATAAAACGAAAATTTTAATCAATAGGAATGAATAATTTACAATGTACATTCGCAACAACAATAAATAACTCAATTTAAAATAAATACATCATAATGGACCTGAAATTCAATTATTGTAACTTTTTAATTGTGTTTCTTTATTGTTTTGAACGAGAAAAATACTACTCGCATTTAAGACCTCAATAACTATTATTATGAAATATGATATGAGAGTTTGATATTTTTCAAGTTTGAGTTGAAGAGGGAGGTTCTTGCACGACTTAGAGTTTAATACGGAGAAAGCTTATATGTATTGAAATTAATTTTAAAAGAATGAAATTCGAATATACCTTTTATATAATTGTTTAATTATTCACTATTTCATTGATAAAATTCTATTATTGCCAGTGTGAACGGTCAAATGCATTGGAAAATAAATTTTATTTCAATTTAATTATTTCCTTTCACTCGAAATAATTTTTAATCTTTATTTTCAATAACTGCGATAACCTTCTTCAATGAAAAGTAATTAATTTGCATGGAATAAATATTTCCACATGAAGTGAATTATTTTGGAATTTTTTAATTAAGTTTAATCCAATCAATAGTTTAATTAAATAAACGAATTCATATTTAATAAATAATCCAAAAAGTTTTATTATTTGTTCGCCTTTGTTTCACTATACAATGTTGAAAATTTTTATTCCCAAAAACTCCAAATAAAATATACTGTTGAATATTAAATTAATTAATCCACTCTTTATGGTTTATTGTTGAAAGTTTGATTTTATTACATACCACCAGTGACTCAATTAAAATTTCGTTAGATAAATAAAATCAACTTTGTGTTAAAATTGTTGTAGATTGATTTGTCCTGGTTTTAGCATATTAATTAGAGAAGTACTTGTTTATGGACAATAGTGCAGTTAAAAGGATGAAGAATATTTCAAATATATGATTGTTTTTTTTACCGAGGAAACATATTGTTAGTGTGTAGTTGTCACATCAAGTCGAAGTGTCAACAGTAAATCATTGGTTTGTCGACGGACATGACTAATCAACTTGACCGAAAAGTAACGAGATGATCTAACTGTATCCATCTAGAGGGGATGATTCATTGTTTACACTCTGATTTGAAATAGTTCTCAATAATTCAAATTCGTTGCTGATAAATAACAACTTTACTCGCTTATTTCATTTAGGATTAAACAGTTACTCTCAACCAGGGATCGTCAAAAAAAGTATTTTCAATGACACATAACTCAATTACTGGGAAATTGTTAATCAGAAAAAAGAAATTATCAATTACTTCTGCAATGGATAATATCGAAAAAAAAATTATCAATTACAGTATTAATTGATAATTTTATTTTTAAAATTATCAATTGATAATGTAATTTGTAATTTAATAAATCCAATTACAAATTAATAAAGTAATTTGTAATTTCGTAGATCCAATTACAAATTAACGGAGTAATTTGTAATTTTATAGATCAAATTACAAATTACTTTTGTAATTGATAATATTTTTGGTGAAATTACAAATAACAGGAGTAATTTGAAATTTTTTTTGCCAAATTACTAAATACAAAAGTAATTTGTAATTTAATAATTGAAATTTATAAATTAATAATTAGTAATTTTACTAAGAATTAATTAAAATTTTTATTTATTTTGTGATGAAAGCATCACGTTCTCATAATAAGACAAAAAAAATGTTTTAATATGTATATCAACGATGCAACTTATGGTTCAATAATAAATTATGTGCTTTAAAGTTCACACATATATTTTGACCATAACACATGTGTTTATAACAACTTATTTATATTTTAATGTTCGTCAAGATGTTTTAATGTTGAATCATACAATTAAACGTTCTAACTTATCTTTTAATGATTAAATATATGTTCTAACGAACATTAAAGCAAGCTTAAGAACAGCAAAAATGAATTAGATCATCTTACCAAAAGTGGATTGTCTACAATTGCTTGAGTTTTGAGCAAATGTTGGCAGTTGGTCAGCCAATATTCACTAAGAATGCCTTGGTTGTATCTTTGCAGACGATGAATAACTCTCTAGGATGAAATGTTCGTTCCAGGATTACCAAATGTAGACTCCCGATGGTTAAGTTGGAGGGTGATAATACCGAATGCACAAAATCAACACCAAATATTATCAATTGTTGTGACTAAGTACTTTTTTAATTCAATCCATCTACAAACCAATGAATAGCTTGAACGATCAACGAAGACGATAATGTAACGATTTAGTCTTTATCTGTATATTTTTATTTAATACTAATAAAAATATATAAGATACTCCATGCATGATCAGGATGTCAATATAAAAACTCCTATGGAAGAAATGTATAAATAAAATAAAATTTGGGAAAATATATTTGTTTTTATATAAGAATTGGCCAATTATTATATCCATAAATGTATAGTGGATGTAATTTTAATAATAGATTCCCCAAGTATACGTTTTCCATGAGGGAATTTAAGCTCATGTATAAAAGCAAGTAAATTTTTTTATTTATTTTTTCGACAATATTTTTTTTTATTTAGCTGTTAATTTTTCATCAAATTGAACATAATATAAAAAAATGAAAATTTATTCGTAGAGTCTAATATTACATTTTACATTTATGGATTAGTTTTTAGAATTTAATCTATACTTCTTCTA